ATAAAAAATTTTTAAATTTAAAATGCCTATATGACTATGGGCTCCAAGAAAAAGAACAAATTAGGCCTGAGTAGAGACTTAACTTGTGCATGCTAAGGGGCTCTAATGAAGTGGAAATTTTCTAGTTTCTTTGGAAACTCAGTTATGTCAAATGATGTTTTGCTGGGGCAGACAGGTGAAAGAATGTTTTGCTGAAGCAAACATGTGAGAAGACATGTGATATTTAGAAAGAATATGACCACACAGAAAATAGGGGAAGTTCTGGCATTGTTCCACCTCGATAGTCTTCCCTGATATTCTTGTATTGGCTTGCCTTAAATCACATTTCTGATCTGTGATTGTCATGACTTTATAGAGGGTAACTCTCCACAGAACTTCTTATGATATTCTGACAGCTTCTTGCTGCTTCCTCAGACACAGCTGATTGGAGGAGCCTTGCGGTTTCTTCTGGATTGAACTGCCATAACTGATTCATAAATGGTGGTTGCCAGAGTGGACTGGACTGCAGCTGCTGATTCATGCTGATGTTTTGCTAGAGGACTGAAATAGCCCCAAGGAACTATTTCCAAACAGGTCCACAAACCCTGTTTCCTATTAACCTTTCTTTTCCCCTACCTCTTGTTCATGGTGGGCTAGAAGGGGAATTGAAGTGTTAAAGAACCCTTGTTAAAGTAGGTTTTGAAAAATCAAAGCTTACAGCTCTATGGAACCAGGAGAAATATTTTCAGGTCTGTTGTTTGCACTATAATAAAGATGGTGGAACGTCATCTTAAGTGTAACTATGTGATATTTTCAAGAAAGGCATTCTTTATGTCTAGATTCCCACGCATCTTATGGCTAGATTCCCATGAGTATTTCCAGTACTCATGCTGGAGCAAGGATGACCCAGGCTCAGCTCAGGTGTTTTAGGAGCTGGGACAGATGTAGGAGTGGGTAAGGCTGGTGTGAGATAAGAGGATCAGAGTTCCTGGGAGTGGGGCTCAAGAGGTGAAGGAAGAATGACTTACAGCTATTCTTGTGGGGCTTCCACTGTCAAACAATGAGCATCTCCTGCAGATTTACAGTCAATTTACACTTAATACTTGTACCTAAGCACACTGGTGTTATGCCATAGGGCATTACCAGCAGGGTAACTGAGTCAGGTTGTAGTCTCAGACCCAGAGCCCCTAGTATCTGAGTGACCATTTAAATCTTAAATGTGGTAGAATCAGAACTGTTGGCAAGAAGCCTTTGAAGAAAACATATTGGAAGCTATGTGTTGCAGTTTGTGATGAGTATTGATATTGGTTGTTGACTGAATATAGTGATAACTGAAAAGTTGGTAAAACATACTCCTGATGTGTCTGTTAGGATGTTTTCAAACATGATAGGCATATGGATCAGGAGACTGAGTAGGAAAACCTGCCTCATCGTGGGTGGCACCATCCAAACCTGAACATGGGTAGCATCATCCAAACTTGTCGAAGCTTGGAATGAATGAGTGGAAGAGAGAAGTTCCTTTGTGCACACGTTTGGAACCCTATTTGAACAGGAGTATTTTTTGCTGTTGTTACTGATACATATAGACATCACATGCCAGACTCCTTAGCCTTTTAACACAGAATTGTACCAATGGACCTCTGGTATAAGGCCTTCAGCCTCAGGTTGGCACTGCATCATTGGTCTTTCTTGGCCTCCAGTTTCATGGAATGAGAAGCCCCAAATTCCCCTAGCTCTACAGGGTAGGAGTGGTCACTGTGGGACTCTTCAGCCTCTGATCTTATAAACTGGCTAACAAACTCCCTTATAACTACAGATATTCTACTGGTTCTGTTCCACAAGGAGCCTAGTATGAAGCTTGAGGAGGCTTGAGAATATGATAAGCAAGTAAGTTGGTGACAATTGTAATAGTCTGAGCTGTTTGGGCAGCACAGCATAGGTTTGAAAGGGAAATGGGGTTTGTTCTGTAGCCATGTTTGTTGCACATCTTGTACAATCATGCAGAATCATGCAATTGTGCAGAACAATTCAATCAAAAGAACGCATAGGCTCACCAAGGACTTCTGTATCCTTTGAATTGAGACAGAGGAAAAAAATATGCTTTCTAATGCTTATAGTCTTCTAAATTTCTGTATTTGTTTGATCCAATTTGCTTGTTTGGTTTTTGAGACAGGTCTTATATATCCCAGATGAATTTGAACTTGTTTTATAGCCTAGACTACCTTCATGTCCTATCCTCTCTGCCACCATCTCTAAGTGCTGAGTTGACAGGGCCACGACAAACTGATTCTGCCTTTAGTTTTCTATGCGATTATTTTCACCCAATCAAGAAACATAGGCTAAAGCAAGGCATGGTGGTATATGCCTGTAATCCTAGTGCTTGAGAAGTGTGAGGCAGGAGAATCAAGAGTACAAAGTCATCCTCAGCTGTACAGCAAGATCAGGCTAGCTTGAGCTACATGAGACTGTGGCAAAAGATGTTGATGGGGACTTGGGGAGACAGAAAGGAAGAAGGGAGAAAAAAAGTAAAACTGGAAGGAAAAAGAGGAAGGAAAGATGGAAGGCAGAAGAAAGATAAAAGGATGGAAGAAGAAAGGAAGAAAGAAGGAAGGAAAGGAAGGAAAGGAAGGAAGGAAAGAAGGAAAGAAGGAAGGAAGGACCTAATTGCTATAATCTCCAAGCGTTTAGACTCTCCAATGTAGAAAGGCCCGTGTCAGATGATAGACCATGGATGCTACAACAGTGTGACTCCACAGGAAAATAAGAAATGAGAAAAATTTCATTACATTTGTATACACTCATTGTTTATGGTCTTTTATGATTTAAATATAAAATGTCCCAAACAGGTTCATGTTTGTTTCCCAACTGGTGGCACTATCATGGAATGGAGGTTGTGAAACTTTATGAGATGAAACCTCCTAGGAGAAATTAGGTTACAGGGATGGGTTCTTGTGCTTTATCTTATCCCAAGATCCTAATTTGGGTTCTCCTGCTGGACATTCCTACTACCATGACTCAACAGCATGGGGCCAAGTGACCATGAATGGAGTCCTCTGAAACCACAAACTGAAGTAAACCTATCCCTGTTCAAATTGTTCTCTCAGATATTTTTGCCAAAGTATCTAATATGTGGCCAGTCAGGGCTGTCCTTATCACTGTCCCCTACCTCCAACGATTAGTGTCCTCAGGAAATTTCCCTCCTTTTTCAGGAAATATTAAAAAAAAAAAAAGATTGACAAGTTCTGGCACTAATCCCAGCACTGGCAGGCCACATGGCACTAGCGGGGTGTTCTCTGGAACCCAATCAAGCAGCCACGTGAAGAAAAACTTAGTTCAGAAACAATGGCAACTCAGTCTCTGTGTGCAGCTGTGACCCGCGTGTAATCGTCTTGCCAGCAAGACGCACGCGGACACCAGGATCCTTCCGCAGCAAACGTTTATGGTTAATGAAAGGAGGAAGACGACGGCTCCGAAAAGGCACTGCTTATACACCCCTGGAGCGGCGTGTTCACTTCTGATTGGCTGCTTACTCGTTACCCGCCAAAACGCCCCAGGATGGGCTGTGACTTTGGCACTCTTTTATCATAGCACATGCGCGGTTTACTTGTTTACTTGGAGGAGCACCGGATGCCAGCGCCATCTTGTAATGGTGAATGCTGTCAGCACAAGCCGCGGCTTTCTATATGCAACAACTAGAATGCTAATCTTGTAAGCCATATTAAATCTGAATCCTCCAGTGGTCAATCCTGGCAGATTCGCCATAAGCCAGGAGACACTGGTAGCTACATCTTGGACTCTAGATATCATGTCCAAAAAGACTCTGACTCCTGCTTCCTTTCTTCGCCATCCAACCCAGAAGTGTCGCCTACTCACCCAGTGATTGGCTCTCTTACTCGTTAGATGATGGTTTACAAGAAGTCATTTAAGTACATGACTCACTCCACATCCAAAGCCCCTTCCAGGATAACGGAATTAACATTAAAATACAAACAACACAAGGCCCATCACAATATCCTCCCATTTTAAAGAGATTGCTTCAGATCTGTGTCTTTTTCATTTTTCTTAGGCTATGTTGGCCAACTGTACACATTTTACACCCAGAAGACTCAAAACATACCATATCATTATATTACTTATATAGTTATATAACTAACCCTAGATCATGAGGTGTCAAGATGAGGTGTTATTTTTGGAGGTGGTTTAGGGAAGCTTGGGCCTTTTGTGGTCCTTAGTAACCACAGACATGTAGGTGGCCAAGGGTCTTGCCCACTGCTGGCTAGTTTTGTGGAAATGAAAGAAAACGTGTAGACAAATTGAATTTAACATTTTTTTGGGGGGGGAGAAACCATACAGTAACTCATGAATTTGGCAGCACCCAAACAAGAAAAGGCTCAGATAATTTTATCTGGCACTGTGAGCACTGGATTTCCACAGTTTGACGGCAGAAGGGAAGTAGAGAACTCACATGATTGGCTGCAGCTAGGCTTCTGACTTTGGGGGCTATGGTATTATGGGATCTTGTTTAATTTGGGTTTGGTGCCATAAGTTGTATACTTATGATTGCTTAAAATGGCTGCTTATGATTGGCTGTGACTTGGCCACATTATATTCCTCAGTTAGGCTATGGGTTATTTATATACTAAGTTAACCTACCATTGGTAGGAAGCCTGAGGCTAACAGTCTCTTGTTTAATTAAAAGACATAGGCAGGGACACAATGAGAACAGGATTATTTCTATGGAAATGAATGCATGTTCCCATGGAACTGATTCACAGACCATTAGCAACCAGCTAGTTCACCAGTAAGGGCCATACCATCACTTTCAATACAGGCTGTCTTTGAAGGTCATGCTCACATCTTAGAATGAGAATGAAAGCCAAGCCTGACTCTGAGTGTGATGCTTGACATTCCCTGAAAGAGTTGAAGTTCTGCCTACTTAGTGTAGAGCTCTCCCAGCTAGGAAGCTACTTTAACTGAGTCCTCCAGCAAATGTATGTTTGGATTTTTAATTTGTTTTTGAACTAGGATCTTACTCTACTCTGTAGCCCAAGCTGGTCTTGAACCTATGATTATCCTGCCTTAGCCTACCAAGGTCTAAAATTAAAGGAGTCCATCAACATAAATGCAAAAATGTCATTTTTATGGTTGGTGTCTGTTTTCTTTTGGGGGTGGAACTGTTAGGATCTTCTGGTGTATTCTGGACTAGCCTTTTACTCACTGCATATAGTGGTTTAAATGAGAAATGGCGCCTTTAGTCTTGGGTACGTGAATACTTGGTCCCTGGTTGGAGGCTCTTGTGGGAGGAAGTGTGTCACTGAAGGTGGGCTTTGAGAGTAAAAGCCTTGCCTGCTTCTAGTTTGCTCTCTTTACTTAGTGCTGTGGTGGTTCAAGACTTGAGCTCTCAGTTTCCTATTCCTGTCTCCAAGCCTGACACTTGCTGTCATGGCTTTCTGTCATGACAGACTCTTGTCTCTCTGGAGCCTTCGTCCAAATGAACTTTTCTATAAGTTGATCTTGGTCATTGTCCTGGTTAGATAGGTTTGTCAACCATACACAAGCCACGGTTGCTGAGCAAGAGGAACTTCAATTGAGAAAATGCCTCCTTTAGCTTGGCCCATAGGCAAGTCTGTGAGGCATTTTCTTGATTAATGGTTGATATGGAAGGGGCCAAACCATGTGAATGATACCATCTCTAGGCAGGTGATCCTGGGGGTGGTATAAGAAAGCAAACTGAACAAGCCATGAGGAGAAAGCTAGTAAGCAGTGTTCCTCCATGCTCTCTGCTTCAGTTTCTGCCTTCAGGTTCCTGCCTTGAGTTCCTACCATGACTTCCCTCCATGGTGGATTACAACTGTAAACTGAAAGAGACTCTCTGATTTCCTTAGTTGCTTTTTGACATGTGTTTATCACAGCACTGGAAATTTAAGTAGGATGGTCATGGTATTTTCTCACAGCAATGGAAAACTAATATGATTTTGAACTTATGTCAAACTTTACTTTTTTTTTGTACCAGTATTAAACTTAGGTTTCATTCATGTTAGGTAAGAGCTCTAGGACTGAGTTACTTAGACATCTTTTAGTGTCTTCCTAAAGGATAAAGTTCACAAGCACTCATAGGAACCAAAAATATCCAGTTACTCACTCCCCCCCGCCCCCACCAGTTCTTTAGCCTGAATAATGTAGTTAGGTTTAGCATTTAACTTAGAAAAAAAAATTGAGTGAATGACTTCCAAGGACATTTTTTTTTTAGAAAAGTAATATCACACGCAAGCTTAAGGGGAAATGGAATTGAGAGAGAATTTTATTGAATGCTACAATGTTAAAATACTAGGCACTGTTTTAACCTGGAAAATAATCTTGTCGTAAACTCCTGCTGTCTCCACCTAGAGTGGGAATACAGTAAACAGAGACAGGCACTTTCACAGGCTCATCTGAATCTTCTCTAAGGGCCACTTGTCTTTTTCTAATGCTGAGTATGGAAAGCCTGTCACTATTGATTGTCATCTTACTGGGGCTGTTGTCTTGATTTTCTTCTTGTTCAAATGAGTCTATCTATGGTTTCTCTTTTGACCCAGCACTGGAGTCAGGAAGGAATAGTCTGTATTATAGCAAACTGTATTAAAGCAATTTTATATTCTGTAATTAATTCTGTATTAAAGCAAAGGAAATGGCAGAATGGAGATACTGAGAGAAGATTTGGGGGTGTGGAGCATGAGGAACTTGAACGTCTTGGCTCCCGTAGCATCACCACAGATGGTACCCAGGTTCCTGCCCTGCCTGGTTTGCAGCTGAGTTTCTGGCCTCCAACTTCCTTTAATATGATGCTTCTAATCCAACCTGCTTATCCTCAAATCCCAGTTAACACTGGAAGACCCTTTTTTAATCTAGTGTTTTTTTTAATTATTGGAAATAAGAAATCATTACTTATTTTCACATTAACTTCTATGTAATAAAAGTATAAGTTAAACAGTCTTCTGTGGGTTGATCTTGGAATTTATCACTACCTTTTTTTTTCCATGTTGAGAATTAAACTAGGATTTTGTGTATTTGAGAAAAAATGTTTTAGGTTGAAAATCTAGCCATTTGTCTTCGAAGACTATTTTTAAGTGAAAAAAAAAATATGTGAAATCCTAAAGATATGCATTCCAAATGAACTTGGGAATAGCTTACTGAGTTCATGAAGAGTTCAGTTTTTATACTGAGTCAAGAAGAAAGAGTAAAAGAGTAACAGTAGAACAATGGGGTAATCTGAAGCAATGTATGTGAGAACACTCAACATTTGGTAGGATTTTCTACCACAATTATCTCACTTACAGATCCTACTCATTAAGTTATTCCACAACTCAGAAAAAAAAAAAAGCTAAATAATGCTTGGAAAACACAATAATCAAATTCCAAACAGATCTAACAGGTTTTATGAAGCCTTTTTAATCACATCACATTACACTGGTCACGCGACACTATTTTCCCATGAGTATCTAAAATGCTGGTCTACCATTAACTCCATATTCAGTAAATTAATGGTGTATCTGTATTGATAGTCAATCATAGGACAAGGTTGTTGATGTTTTGTGGCTTCTGGCAGCAACTTTCTCATCAATCTCTGTTATAGTTGGCACTGACTGAGAATGTGCTCTAGCCAACAGGGATGTCTGATAAGTATAATTGAGATAAGCCATGAATGGGCTAGAGAGATGATTCATGCTGGAAAGGTAGGCTCACAACCAAAAAGATAAGTCATAAATGAATCCCTCTTGCTCATAATTTCCTAATTATATCCCTGTGTTAGCTAGCAATGTTGGTTGGTCTTGAACAGACCAGGTTATCCAATGGAGTTATGTTGTTTAGTTTACGTATTTCAAGTATATTTTTCAGAGGCTTGGAATCATATTTGATAGGTAAGGTAGTAAATTTGCGTGTGGGTGGTAGTTTTCTTTTGGAAAACATTTCAAATCTCCTTGCCTTATCACTCATTTCTTGAGTAACTTCTTTATCAAAGTAACCAACAAATTTTTTGCTTAAACTGGAAAAAGTTTGAGATATATTATAAAGAGTGTTCGGAGATATTTTCTTTGAAACCAGACTGTCATTTCTCTTCCTTCGTTTCTCGTTTATATTCTTTTGGGCCTGTTCAGCAGAGAGGACTTGCAACTGTTTCTGCTGGTCTATAGATTTAGTACTTTGAGGTTTAGAAACAGCACTTGGTTCATCCTCAAATAAAGCTTTGAGTACTTCATAATTTTTTTCTAAAACAATATTCTTTTCTGTACATTTCATAGCATAGGGAGTAAACCTTTTTGTCAGGAACAGCATTTGTACATATTCAGTGTCATAGAAAATTATTGGATTTGCGTGGCATTGTTCCTGTAGATTAAAGAAAAAATACTGAGTCATAAACCTATTGAGGCAAAGCTATATAGACACTTTAAACGTGAAAATAATATTTTTAAATATTTTAAATGACTCTATAGAGGTATGTAATAACAATAATAACATTCAAATACATTTAAAAAAACAGGTGCTTGTCTATAATACACTTCCTTCTCAATAGCCAATAGCTTTATTAGACACCAAATTCGAAGGTGAGGCATATAGAAATAAGTACATTTCTTAAATGCTTGTGGTATTGTGACTGGAGAGATGAGAGTAGGTAAGAAAAACACTGTATGGGCATTTCTTAGAAGGCCATGCTCTAGAAAGAAAGGGACAAACTGCAGGAGTCCAGTCCCAACCTTTGGAGGTACTCCAGGCTCTGAAGCAGGACACAGACAAAAGTCAAAGGTCAAAGACTGATGATCTCTGGCCTTGTAACTCTCTTACTATTCTGTGCTAATTATACCCAGTTTCTTACTATTCCATGGCTAAATGCCAACTGGTTTCTGGTAATAAGCTCCTGCTGGTAGCAGCAGGAGATAAAAAAATTACTTTGGTTCTTTTTTCTCTTTGACTCAGGCCTCTCACTGGCCTGGCAAGAGGTTTGAAGTTCCTTAATTCTTCCTGAGTCAGAGAGAAAGGAGAGAAAAAAAGAAAAGAAAAAGAAGAGAAGAGAAGAGAAAAGAAAAGAAAGGAGAAGAGAAAAGAAAAGAGAAAAGAAAGAAAGGCATTCATACAGAGATACACACATACTAGATGAAGCTGAAAAAGGCTGCATCCTCATTTATTTTTGGTTTTTAGCTCTTACACTATCTCAGGATAATTAATCACATGATTTTTGAAGCATCTTTACTATTCTATAAGTTCATAGTAAGTTCAAGACAATAGTTTATGTCATAAAATGACAAAGAGTTACAGTAGGAATGTTTACATTAAGACTAGTACCTGACTAAACATTCATTATCTGCTACTAGCTCCGTAAGTTCATTATAAGTTTAAAGCAATAATTCTTATGTCACAAGTTAGTACAGTTTTGTCAAGAGACAAATCATCTGCCTTATGTTTCATTAATTTTGAAGTTGTGTATAAATAAACTAGTCAATATTTTATTTTCTGTCTTTGCACCTACAATAAGTTGTCCATTCCCTGTTTATGACCTTTAGTTACCAGACAGTGAGTGGCATCACAACTAACCTAGAAGGAATGTTTTCCCTGATCATAAGTTTGTTCAAAGCCTGCTTTCTCATCCTAGTGCAATTAGCCTGTGACAGAGCCCTATTTGCAGCTTTTAGGAGGCTAGAAATTGCTTGTATAAATTTAAGAATTTTATAAAACCATTATCAGGAATTATGAAATTATCAATTTGTCTACACAGCATTACTATATGGTATATATCTTCATGGTAATCTACAGAAAACCTGCCCAATAGCTAATGCCCAGAAATTGTTAGAATATGTAATAGTGACAGGAAAAGGCATATCAGCAGCAAGAAGCAATCCTGGGACAAAATCTCTTGGGAATCTTGCCTCAGAGCTCACCCATTGAAGGCCATGCAAAACAGTGGACCATCTCCAGAAACGTCACTGACATGCCTTTAGCCTTTCCTAGATGGCTTCTGACAACAAACCCCTCAAAATGGATTGAGTCAAAGATCATAAGAGACATTAATGAATATAAGCCAAAATGATCATTTATAGCTATTATAATTTTAAAATTTTGAAATATGTCCTGGACAGCAAGCCAGGAATTGTCTTTCCTAGAATGAAATCAGAAATTTGCCTAATGGTACATAAATGTTCTTAGCATGAAAAGTATTCCAATGGCTCAGACTCCCCAAAAGATGACCAAGGAACCAGTTTTACTATCCTTTGTTGATAAAAAAAATATTACCAATTTAGCTACAGTGATGATGGCCTTCACCTCAGTTTTGGTTTATCCAACACTATAGAGAATTTCTACCCTATAAGTTAGTGGTTCTCAAATCTTCCTAATGCTGCAATCTTTTAATACAGTTCCTCATTTTGGGACAACCCCAACCATAAACTTATTTTGTTGCTACTTTATGACTGTCATTTTGTTACTTTCCAGGATATCTGATATGTATAATCTCTGGGGTAAGGAGTCATGACCCACAGGTTGAGAAACACTGCTTTAAGTCTTTGTGTTGTAGGTAGAGATAGAAACGATCTTCACCAGCCTTCCAGGAATTAGGCCAAAAACATCACCTGTAAGAGTCTTCAGTTCAAAAGAAGTTGCCATGAAAAGCTGTGTGTCGGGGTGTGTCTGTGAAACTAGTCTATTTAGGATTGCAGAAGCTATAGAGGTCTTATAAAGTGTCCGTCCTCTCCAGCTTCAAAGTTGATAATTGTGATCTATGATAGAGGAATATAATCAACAAAGCAGAATGGGCTATATTTGGATGATTCCTAACAAGAAAGATTTCAAGTCACGTTCTCTTTTTAGCCTTCCCAGGGCTTTTAATATTCATTTTTCCCCAAAATAGCAGTAGATCTTACCACCGAAGTATGTACTGTCTCTTTTGGAGCAAGGACAATTGTCTTTATTTTTGGATCTTTTAGTAGATCCTCACAGTCCAGGGGAAACACGATGTTCTGTTTGACTGAATGAGGCTTTCTTGCTTGGTCATTTCTGGTTAACTCACTTTCTTTCGTAGTAAAATGATTCACCTCTGGAGGGTATTTTCTCCTAAAAATTAACATAGTTTAAGAAGTGATTTCAGCTAATCAGTTCTCTCCCTACGTCCCTTTCTAGAAGTTACTGCCAATATCCTCACGGATCCATCCAGTAGGTATCAATCAGTCTGATAGGGTCATGCTTTCCCGCCTGCTTTGTGGGAGAAGCAGCAAAGCAGACAGTTACCTGGGTACCTGCCATTTTTTGAGTGGAGTGTGTGAGGTAGAGGCTGAGTAGAGGCCTATGGGCAGAGAGGTGTTGATCACAACCTTTCCTGGGGCTTCATATCAGTCTAGTAAAGAGGATGTAGCATTGTGAACAGGCAAAAAGAAAACATGCTTTTCATCTCAGGTCTTCATTGATTTAAGTGCAAGTGGGCTTATACTTGCAGGATTTGAGGTAACCTGTAGCACAGACTGGACAAAGGTGAGACAGCCTCACTCACAGAAGGTAAGGATGGAGGAGATAACAGAGCCTCAGAAAGACATTCTGTCAGTGGGCCCTGACAGTGGACCCTGACCTACTTTGTAGCAAATAGACCATAAGCTCTCCAGCCACAGAAAATCAGCAGCCAAAGGACACCTAGGGAGGAATCCTGTGATCACTAGTCCTGACAGTGACACTGGGATCTGCTTCTGATCTTTGTCCAGTATATTGATTTTCTTTTCCCAAGATTCATCAAGGCCCTCATTCATACATACTCCACAGAAGGGTGACTTAAACCTAAAGAAGTCAGTCATCAGTGCTCCAAAGTTGGAAAATATCCCTACTGCCAACTTTTCCCTCCATTAGGCAGAGATGGTGATGAGAAGGATCTAGATGTTAAGGAAAAGTAAACTACTTTTCCACCTCCCTGTGGAAGTATAACTAAATGTGTGCCTACTACAAAACATAGCTATACTCTCTGTCTTAATTTGACAGCACTCAGGATGGGATGCCCACTAGCTGACCAGTCTGGGGCTCCTCCTTTGATGGCATTATAAGAGTAAATGCTAATAATAAGCAGAAAAAAAATCATTCTGTATTATACAAGGCAAACTTGTTCTACCAGAGTTATCATTGAACAGTATAAAATATTAACATTTTAAAAATAAATTACCCATTTTTACTAGAATCTGCTGAGTGGTCTGTAGAATGCATGGACTTCTTAGCTCTGCTTTCACTTTGATCTGCAATTATAGATTTTCATAAAAGATACTTAAGTACAATGTTACCTAGAAAATGTCTGTATGAAATATAGTTTAAAATAACATAGAAAACCTCTGGCATAGTGGCAAACTTGTAGTAGTTTATTGACCCTTTTTTGTATGCTTGTGTGTGTCCGTGTTATATGACTGTAGGTGCCCATGGAGAAAGAGATGTCAGAGCTCTTGGAGTCAGAATTACAGGTAGTTATGAGCTGTTTGATGTGGTGTTGAGTATCAAAATCAATCGTCTGCAAGAACAGTAAGTGCTTTTAACCACTGAGCCTTCTTGCCATCCATACTTCTTGAGTGAACAAGGTAGAAGAAAAGATAGGCCAAGACTTCAGTATTCAGCTAAAACAGTGCAAACATAAAAGTAGTCAAGAGTTTTCATGGACAAAAGTTGTTGGTTTATTTGCAGGCAGCTGGCAGAGATGCTGGGAATGGTGTGAGCTTTTGAAACCACAAAGCCTAACCCCAGTGACCAACTCCAAGAAGGCCATACCTTCTACTCTTTTTCAAACACTTCATTATCTGGATACTAAGCACACAAACACATGAGTCTGTGGGGACCAATCTCATTCAAAACACCACATTCCACTCTCTGGCCCCATAGGCTTGTAGGCACATCATAAAGCAAAATGCATTTAGTCCAAGTTCAAAAGTCTTCATAGGATTTCAGTCTCAAGGCTGCTTAAAAGTCCAAAGTCTCTTAGGCATTTTCTTAACTGTAACTCCCTGTAAAATTAAAATTTAAAAAAGCATCTCACATACTCCTCACATACTATGGCACAGAGTATACATCACCATTCCAAAAGAGAAGAACAGGAGCAGAGGGAGAAAATACTGGGCCAAAGTATGATCCAAACCTAGCAGGACAAACTCCAAATTCTACATCTCCATGTCTGTTATCCAAGTACTTTTCAGATCTCCCACTTTAAACTTTATTGACTGCAACATACTTCTTTCTCTTAAGCTAGTTTCACACAGTCTGCGGCTCTCCTTGGCAGGTATCCTATGGCTCTGGCATCTGCAACATTTTAGGGTCTTCAATGCAATCCAACTTCATAAAATGGTCTTTTGAGGCCTCCATGCAAGAACTGTCTTGTCAAATTGCTGGCCTCAGTGGCTTTCCTTAACAGTGGAGGAAGATTCCTTAACCCTTGTGGTGGTTCGAATGGCTTTGGCTCTCATAGACTCATGTGTTTGAATGCTTACCCCACAGGGAGTGACAGTATTAGGAGGTGTGTCCTTATTGGAATAGGTGCGGCCTTGCTGGAGGAAGTATGTCACTGAGGGGGTGGGCTTTGAGGTCTTATGCCCAAGCTCCACCCAGTGAGGGAGAGATCCTAGTTGTCTGTAGGAAGTCTTTTCTTGACTACCTTTGGATCAAGATGTGGAATTTTTGACTCCTCAAGCACCAAGTATGCCTGGACACTGCCATGCTTTCTGCCACGATGATACCAGACTGAACTCTGAAACTATAAGCCAGACTCAATTAAATGTTGTCCTTTATAAGAGTTGTCTTAGTCGTGGTGTCTCTTTATAGCAATGAAACCAAAACTAAGACAACCCTGTTCCTGTATCCTTGATTTTTAACCAGAACCACTGGCTGAAGCTGCCAAATTTTTCTGTTTGCTGGGGCTGAAAGCTGGAACACCCCACACTTTTACTTTTGCTTAAACTTTGACTTGATGGTTTCTAGGCCAAGGAAACCCCACAGGCTTATTCTTTTTACAGTTGCAGAATTAGCTGGGTGGTGTCTTGCCCTGAGGGTAGCCTTTATTCTATTTTTAATCTGGCTTTTTTTGTTTTGTTTCGCTTTTTGGTTTTGTTTTTGTTTTTGTTTTTTTGTTTTGTTTTGTTTCTCGAGACAGGGTTTCTCTGTGTGGCCCTGGCTGTCCTAGAACTCACTCTGTAGACCAGGCTGGCCTTGAACTCAGAAATCCGCCTGCCTCTTCCTCCCAAGTGCTGGGATTAAAGGTGTGCGCCACCACTGCCTGGCTGCAGCATGCTCCTTTTCATTGTAGATCTAGATAAGCGTGATCACTAATAAACACACAACACAGAAAATGTTGACTCTGACTCTATTGAAATTTCCTCTGAAAGTGTCATTAGTGCAAAAGTCTTCAATTTATCCATCAGCCAATTTTTTGGACAAAGGCAAAAAGTAGCCACATTCTTTGCAAAAATTTCAATCTCTCCAATATTATTTCTCTCTGACACCTCTTGAGATGGGCTGCATAGTTTATATATCCCTCAACACTATTTGCTTTCTTGCTCCTACTAGTATGGCCCAGTAAGCCCTGCTTCTAAAGTCCCAAAGTCTTCTATATCCCTCAAAACAACAGAATGAATGCTCAGGCTTGTCACAGCGATATGACACTCTTTGATATCAACTTCTGTCTTACTGTTCTATTGCTGTGAAGACACACCATAACCTGGGAAACTCTTACAAATGAGAGCCTGTAACAATTTCAGAGGGCTAGTTCATAATGAAAGCATGAAACATACAGGCATGGCACTGGAACAGTAGCCTTACATCCTGATTTGCAGGAAGTAGGCTGGGGAGGAGTGGGGGGCAAAAAGGGAGAAAGAGGAGACAAGAGAGGTGCTCTTGGCAGGGGATTTTAAAACCTTTAAGCCCACCACCAGTGACAGACCCCCTCCTCCAACAAGGCCACGCCTCCTAGTCCTTTCCAGATAGTACAACAACTAGACTAAGCCTGAAAATATGTGAGCCCATGGTGGGGGGCACTCTCATTCAAACCAGCACACATACCAGTGATACCCTCTGCTTTGTCTTGTCCTCTTTATTTTAGTGTATTGCTTGCTTTAAACTCTTCCATATCCTAGCAAATATTACAATTAATATTATTTGTAGTGTATTCATTCAAGAATGACAGTAAAATAGAGACATTTTGGAAAATCAAGGGTCAGAAGAATTAACAATACAGCACACATCCCTTCAAGAATCACTAAAGACTGTCAGCTGAGGAAGGCAAATGTGAATACAGATGGCTGCGTTCAGAAGCCACTGGTGAGTGTGCACGTTGAGAAGTTATGTTATATATCCTATTATTGACTTTTTAAACTAGCATCTGGGGGTGCTGGATAGATGCTTTAGTGGATGTAGAGCACTCACCATGCAAGCTTGAAGACAGCAGTTCAGAAACCTTGTCTGTAACTCCATCACTGGAAAGGTGGAGACAGATCCCTAGAGCAAGCTGACTAGCTAAACCAGCTATATAGGTAAGCTCTGCATTCAGCTAAAAGGCCCATCCCAATGAGTAAGGTAGAGAGTGATTGAGAGACACTCCTGACTTTAATCTCAAGCTTCCAAATATGTGTACATATGAATATACACCTCAAAAACTAATATTTTAAATTTTAAATTAAAATTTACTTTTGACAGTTATTTTGACAGTTACATCTTTGGTGTCTTAGACTTCTGTAGTTTTTTTTTTTAATTAAAAAAAGATTTATTTTTATGTGTATGGGTATTTTGCTTGCATGTATGCCTGTGCACTATATTTGTGCCTAGTACCAGAGGCCAGAAGACAGCATGGGATCTCCTGGGACTGACAGACAGTGGTGAGCTGCCATAAGGATGCTGGAAAATAAACCTGGGTCCTCTGGAAGAGCAGTCAGTGCTCTTATCCACTGAATCATCTCTCTGGCCCCTTAACTTTGATTTTTAAAATATTATTTTTGTATTAGATTTTTGAAAAATTAATACAACATGTTTTGATCATACTCCCCGCTTCTCTAGCACTTCTCAGATCCAATCCCTCCACCTCTTTTTGGGGAACCCATTCAGGCCAGGTTGTGCTTAGCAGCTATTCTTGGATGTGTGGTAGTCACTGGATTGCTTACCAGGCCTACACTCTTAGAGAAAACCAGTTCTCCTTCTCCCAGACGTTATCAGTTGCCAATAGCTACTTGACTAGAGGTGAGATTTCATGTCCAACTCCCTACCCCCCAACTCCCTACCCCCATCTCCATGTTGGGAGTTGATCTGACTTGGACTTGCCTGTTGTCAAAACCACTGTGAGTTCTTATGTGCAGCTGCCCTCCTGTGTGTAGTAGATACCGTTTCCTTATAGCTGTCTTTGTAAATTTGCTTTATTGCAGTATAATTTATATATAATAATATGTTTACATCTTAAGTGCATAGTATGGTGAATTGTGACAACATATTCACTTATAACTACATCTCATATCAAGACTCCAAAGATGGACTTGGGAGGGGAAGGGAAGGATCACCAGACCTCTTTATTTGCTCTTCTTTCCAATGTGGCCACACTGGACAGATCTTTTTCTGTATTTCTGGTGGCAGCCACTCATTTTCTGCATTTTGGGGTGGCAAATTAATGACAGATGGAGAAGAAAGACCAAGGGTTCCATGTAGCTGCTTGAATAATTATTTCAACCAACATCAGATGTTTTTTGCTTCTCGTTGAGAAAGTAGAGAAATGAATGATTGAACTTTGATTTGCACTTGAAAAAATTTAACCTTTTAGAAGCTTCTCCTTGATCTGTGTATCCTTCACTTTGTCTTCACTTTAGTTTTGGGGTTCCACTGGGCTCCACTGAACTCTCTGAGTTATTTTGGTGATTGGCTTTGTTTTCCTGAGTTCTTCTGAGATGTTTTGATTCTGTTGAGCTATTTGCCCCCTTGTATGACAGGCTTTGTCAACTTGAAAGGCTTTTGAAGTTGTGCTGTGCCACTGAATCTCTGCTGGGCCATTTAGGACAAAGAAACAAGGGTTCTGGGAAGGTCTCTATCAAGGTTTTTGTAATGACAATTAAGTATGGTTACGTGAGATGACTCCATAGGCAAAGGCACTTGCTGCCAGCAGCCAAGTCTAATGACCAAGTTTGATACCCAGAACCTACACGATAAGAGGAGAGTTTCAAGACTCTCATGTTGTCCTCTGACTTCTACACATGAAAAGTAGGATGCCTGTACCTGTATTCATGCATACACACACAACTTAAATATGTAATTAATATGTTTAATTAAATTCTTACTACCTGTACTTCCCAGGGAAATTCAAATCTGACCAATCTTTTGTAAACTTTGGTTTCTAAGCAGTGATGAGGACAAGCGATGGAAACAGAGTTAGGCATATTAGGAGCAAGGACCCAAAAAGCAAACAGTTTTAATTCTTGTCCTTGGCTGGAATCAGATGTCTCTGGTTCTGTCCTCGCTGGAGGTTGGTAGGGCCAGAATGGAGCTAATAAAGTAATTTACAAATGGTCTTGACATAGGCAGAGGACTAAGGAATACAGACTTTGTATTTTTTTCAGTAGTAACAGATGTTACAAAGTAATGGCATATTATGTCTGTACATCCAAACTAAACTATTCCTTGGGCGTACATTTTCTTGATGTTTATAATGTAGATAACATACTGCTACTTTTGACATAAACATATAATCTGTGTACCTGTAAATGGAGGAGAGACTTTTTCCTTCATACTAGCATTGGATTTATCGGTGAGTTTGGAAGACAGGATTGAAGAAGCCGCTGATTTTTTACATAGGTGTTTAGACCCAGGCAGTGGAAATGGCAAGGGATTTGCGTATTCTGTCTAAACAGCAAGAAAAATAGAGACCTCTTAGAAAGTGTTTCTATCTGTATTCTACCCCCTGCCCACCGCCACATCCACCAAAACAGGGTCTCATGGGTTCCAGACTGAGCTTTGGCTACTTTTGATCCTCCTGACTCCAGCTCTTGAGTGCTGGGATTGCAGGTATGTATGCACCACATCCTTAAGTTTATACTATGGTAAGAATCAAATCTAGAGGTCTGTGTACACCAGCTATATATCCTAGCCATAATTATTCACATTTCTGATATCTAATTATGATAACTACCACCTATGTGGTTCTTAAAATACTGTTTTTCAGTGCTGGGAATTGAACCTAGGGCCTCATGGATACTAGGCAGGTGCTTCACCACTGAGATAACACTTTGGAGAGAAGTACCTTCAAATATGGTATTTTATATAATCCACCCATGATGTTGATGTTATCATTAACACTTTATGAATAAGGAAACAAATCTGAAAAGATTTGCCTAGGTTTGTGTATTAATTGATATTTCCTTTGTCAATAAAAGTTGGATTTTATATTCATAAAAAATTTTTTTCTAAGTGTAACTGAAGTTCAAACGAAGGAAATCATCCAGCTCTGTTTTAATAGAATGGGAACAACAGCAGAACAGTTCTGAGTAGGGGACAGGAAGGTGGAATGATAGAGCAGGACATTGTTCATCCTCCCCTGGCCTCTACCCACTTGGACATGCAGTGCATATATCATACACATGTACAGCACATATGTGTACACACATACTATAAAACAACATCAAAACACACTTCAAGTTAAAGGGATAGGCAAGAATTTTTCTGGAAAGGAATCTGTAGCAGGGTACTTTCCTGCTGCTGGTACATTATCTGGGGAGGAGCAATTGTGGGAGGAGCAAAGAGGGAGAAGGAGAGGAAGAGAGAAGGAAGAGGAGGAGCTAGAAGGAGGAGCAGGAGGGAAGATGGCTGGAGATGGACGAGTGTCTTTAGCAGTCTCAGGTAGTTATTCGTATCTAGGTTAGTTAATTGAGTTAAGAATTCTAATTGTGTGGGCATCTTGTTAATTGACCATTTCCAAACATATAAACCAATTGGATACCCTGTAAGCTCTAAGAGTCTCATTTCTACTGTGTACAGCGAGGATGGTGGATATTGTCAGGGCTCTGCCAAGCATTGTGGACAGCGTGGTGGATTGACAGAGCCAGCCGCCACACTGACGTCTCGTGGCTGCCAGGGCCGGTGTTTCAAGCTAGTTAGATCCGTGGTCCAGAGCTGGAGCCGTGGGAAAATGGCGGCAGTCTGGTAACAGCCTGGGCCAGGCACCGCATTTTTAAATATTAACCTCAACAGGAATCTAGTATAGAGAAGGTAATTTCAAAGATGGACATATGAGATTAAGTGAAATCAAAATGCTCCTGCATAGCATATTGTTCCAAATGTAGAGGTGTTCTTCGGAATGGGAAAAAATATTTGCTAATTATGCATCAGACAGCAAACTGATATGTAAAATTCATAAATAACTGTGATAAACATCAAGAAAACAAACCAACAAAATAGTAGATAGGTGAATAAACAGAGTAATTTTCAAAAGAAGAAATACAAATGTCAGTAATAGATATTTGAAAAAGTGTCTAATGTCCTTAGCTATTATTTAAATAAAATTAAAACTTCTTTAAGATTCCATCTCTCTGGTAAGGCCCTATTTCTGAAGACAACACCTACATACATATCTCGTTGAACATGGAGAAGTTGAGCTGGAACCTAACCAGAGACTTCACCCTGTACTCGATAGTGTTCATGGTACTAGAAAAAATTCTGCATGCTACCAGAGTAGAAAAGTCAGCACCAAACGCACTATAAACCCTTCCATATAACAATGATAACCTGCATACATGGTGTACTGCTGCAATTGTGGTACAGAAGTTGTGGGAGTAACCAATCACTATCTGGATTCTAGGTCTAGTCTATGAGATGAAACCCATACTTGATGCCACTTCGGTGGCCAAGAACTTGAGACTAGATAACCCAGGGACCTAGGGGAAAGCCAAATACTACTGTTCTGGTAAAGGAATGTAGCAATAAATGACTCCTAATGACTGCTATATTCATAGATCAGTACTTTGCTTAGCCATCATCAGAGAAGCTCCCTCCTGCAGTAGATGGGAACAGAGATCCACAACTGGACAATGTGCAGAATAAGAGACTTTGTAACACTCACTTCTAAATACGATGTCTCCATCAAATCCCTCACCTCAGGAAGAGGAAATATTACCATAGAGGAAGTGGAACGAATGTAAAAGCCAGTGGGGATGGAGGGCTCTAAGGAAACCATGTCTTCCTGACACAACAGGCCTGACATACATTATGAACCCATAGAGACTGTAGCAGCATGCACAGGGCCTGCACAAATACAAGTTAGGTGGGCTCCCAGTACTGAGAGGGAGAAGTGAACTTATTCTTTCATCACTGACCAGGAAGTTATAACCAAGTGATCACTACTCACAAAGGAAAAATTGTCTCTAATAGAGTCTCACTGAGTATTCAAACCACACTAGAGCAAGCCCCATGCCCAGCAGTAGATGACCAATTCAAAATGAACTCAATTGTATTTTTGGAAATTTTTTTGTCTAATATTTTGTCTGGATTTTCCTTCCTTCCTTCCTTCCTTCCTTCCTTCCTTCCTTCCTTCCTTTCTCTCCCTTTCTCTCTCCCTTCCTCTCTTTCTTCCTTTCTTTCTTTCTTTCTTTCTTTCTTTCTTTCATTCTTTCTTTCTTTCTTTCTTCTCTTTCACCTTGCTGGTCTTTTATTTATATATTATAATTTCTGGAGTAAAAAAGGTTCCATCATGTCCTAGTCAGAATAGCAATTATCAATAAAATCTACTTTCAGCAAATATTGATGATACGGAGAAAGAAGAACACTTATACACTGTTGGTGTGAATGTAAATTATAGGTACGATGGACATTAATGTGGAGGTACCTTCAAAAACTAAAACTAGAATGACCTTGTGACTGAGCTCTTCCATTCCTTGGCATATACTCAAAGGATGCTAAGCATTGTACCACAGAGGTACTAGAACATCCATACTTATTGCTACCCTACTCACATTAGCTAAGAAAGAGAATTATCCAGGATACTCACCAATAGATTATTGAACAAAGAAAATGTGATATGTAAGCATAATGGAACTTTGTTCATCAATGAAGGAAAAGGAAGCCATGATATTTGCAATTAGAAGTCATTATGTGTTGGGAGCCGACTCTTAGCCGAAAGTGGCTATCATCTTTACAGCCATCTCGAGCCATATACCCTGACAAGAGACTTGTTTCAACAGCCTGCAATAGCTGAGCACACTCTGATAAACATCTTGTTACACTGTTTAGTGCCCCCAGCTGCCAGGTGCTCCTGGTATCCATGGCTACAAGGCACGTGACGTAGTGGCTTCAGTTGAGATTGTCCACGAGGGCAAGTCACGTGGTAAAGGGTATAAATACCCAGGATTTCCCTTCTATAGGGGAGTAGAGGAGTAGAGGAGTCGAGGAGGTAGAGGTAGAAAGTAGGAGGTAGTAAGTAGTAAGAGGTAGTAGGAAGTAGAGGAAGGAGTGAGAAAGTGAGAGGTGTCAGGAGACTGAAGGAGTGAGAATATAGTAAGAAGAGAGGAGAATAAAGAAGACTTGAAGAGACTCCACCGGACTCTGGCTTGTATCTATCTTTTGCGTCTCTCGCCCCTTTTTTCCCCTTCCTCCGTCCCCACTCTCTCTTGCTAGACCCTAACCTGCCGACCGGAGCAACAGAACCAGCCGGCCTTTACAAAATAACAGAACCCGAAGGCCGTTACAAAAGAAACGGCCGTTACAATTATGTTCAGCAAAATAAGCCATTCTCATGAAACTACTAATAGTTTCTCTCATGTGCAGACTCTAGGTTTAAAGTGTGTGTGTGCACGAGCTCTCAGAAATCATAAAAGTTAAGATGATCATGATCAAAGAAGAGATGTGAAGGTGAGAAGGTGTTTTAGTTAGGGTTATACTATTTCTGATAAAACACCATGACCAAAAAAGCACACTGGGGAGGAAAGGGTTTATTTGGCTCACATTTCCATACTGCTGTTCACCATCCAAGGACGTCAGGACAGTAACTCAAGCAGAGCAGAAACCTGGAGACAGGAGCTGATGCAGAGGCATTGGAGGGTGCTGCCTACTGGCTTGCTCAGTCTGTCAGAAGAGGGCATCAAACCCCATTATAGATGGTCTTGAGCTACCCTGTGATTGCTGGGAATTGAACTCAGGACCTCTGGAAGAGCAGCCAGCTCTTAACCTCTGAGCCATCTCACCAGCCCCTTGGAGGCAGTCTTTAAATTAAGTTTCCCTTCTTTCTTATAACTAACTCTAGTTTGTGTCAAGTTGATATTAGACTAGCCAGTATAGAGGCTACAAGAAAAACAAAACTAAACACGCATAGAGCAATGGACTGCATGTAATATGACAAGCCCACAGCTAACTCTGTATAGAGTAGCTATACTCTACTTAGTAGGGAATAGTCGAAGACTTCTGCTCTAAGGTCACGAGGAAGAAAAGAATCTCCATTTTGACCAGTTTTAGTAAACACAGGACTAGAAGTCCCAGGCTAAAGCTATCAGGCAATGGAAAGAAATTAAGAGTCCAAATTGGAAGAGAGGTAGTCAAGTTGTTTCTATGTACAGAAAATAAGATCTTATTTATAGAAAAAATGCAAAAATTTCAACAAAAACCCATTAGATTTGATGAATGAACTCAGTGAAGTGGATGATATAAAATCTACATACAAAAACAAGCCAATAAAGCTGAAAGAGAAACTGAGAAAGCCATTTTATTTGTCAGAGCTGTAAAAAAGAAAAAAATAGCAAATTTTATCAAGGAGATGAAAAAAAATAAAGACATAAGCACATGACTGTTGCAGAATGGTTTTGTGTACTGTGAATTCACATTCAGATGCTAATTTCTAGCCCAGACATCTGGTTACAGTT